CTCTCTCTCTCTCCCTCTCTCTCTCTCTCTCTCTCTCTTTCTCACTCTCTCTCTCTCTCTCTCGGTGCGCTCGTTTCAGCGAATACGCGGGTGTTCACAATTGCTCATAAATCTTGCGGGACAATACTTTGCACTGCAATATCTTATGCGGCGACAAAGTGAATGGGAAGCATTTTCGCGAAACCGACGTTGCTTAGCTCGGTAATTTATCATTTAGTGTCCATATCTGGGCGCAGAAGTAAGCTCGATCTAATTGGGTCGATTGTCTATTTCAGATGGCGTTGACCAAGATGTCCGGATCGCGCATCCTGCACCGACATCGTGGCGGCTGATTATGTCGCCCGTTGCGCCTAATCTCTTCTCTCTTCTCCTCCTGCCATCCTCTCCTCCACAAACCCGTCATCCCCGACCTTACGCAGTTCCTCTGACACTTCTACTGGTCGTCCTCACCTGCCTGGGAGATGTCCTGTCGAGCGAGCAGCCCGCCCTCGGTCGCGAGGTCCTGGATCTGCCCACCTTTGAGGGCACCGATTCCCTCCTTCCTCCAACCCACCAGGTGGATAAGTATCCCGTGAGCCTGCCGAAGGATCCGGGAAAGGAGGAGGTCCAGGATGAAACCTCCCTCCCGCCTAAGGAGCAAGGACCTCGATCTCGGTCCGAGCATGTCCTTGACAATATGGACAGGGACATCAACCTCGATAGCAATAGGGAAGAATTTTTTAACACTAGGGAGGTTAAGGTCGAGGACTCCACCCGTTCGGACCACGGATGCAACAGTAGTGTGCAGTTTGGCAGGGTTTGCGAGGGCCACGAGTTCAGAAATTCGAGTGCAGGGACGAGGGACGTAATCGAAGTGGTCGAGGTCGCCGAGAGTCGGAACATCGGTGATGGCTCCAATAAGGTTCTGGGGATGACCTCGGAAGACGATGCCTCGCGGGTCGAGGGTACCATTGCGTCTTCGAATCTGACGAAATGTAATCGTAATGGCGGTGTGAGGTATAGTAATACCAAGAATTTCGCGGGCGAAGTCGACGTCAAGGTGGTTCGTCACGTCAGAGAGGCGAACTTAAGAACGATGCTCGAGAGCAGTGCCAAGGAACTCGAGGTCGAGGACCGACCTGCGGGGATAGAGGATGTCGCGGTCGGTAGAATTTTGGGGACAGCTTTAGAGTTGACCGTGAAAAATAACGCCTCGCAGGACGAGGTCGACGTCGAGGTCGACGACAAGCCGCTGACAGGATTCGAAGGGTCGCAAAAGTTCCCCGTCAAGCCGACTTATAAGCCACCCTCTGCGCCGGAAAAATTCGATCGCCGCCATTTTGGTTCCTCGAGGTTGGAGAACGAAGGTTCTCCGACCACGACCTCACCCGGGACGATTCCACCTCCGGACCTCCCGAAAAGCCCCAGCCGCGACGGGCCTCGGATAAAGGATCCCGACCTAGAGACCGAAGAGGACCCCAAGGAATCCACGACGTCCCCGGAAGAAGACCTCGACCTCGCCGGTACCACTAGTGCGTTCGACTCCTCGCCGGTCGACCCCACCGAGACCCTCGAAGAGGCAGCCACCTCGTCGATACCTTCCATAACGACGAACTTCACTAACGAAGGTCTCTTCGGGAACGAGGTCGAGGAGTACCAGGAGCGTCTCAATGGCACACTTGACGAGGACAAGGTGGACGTGACCATTCTGGGGCTGTTCGAGCTGACCAGCGGAGCGGAGTCCAGACTGGAAGGCCCCAGCGAACTTCAGGCCGCCAAAATGGCCGTCGACCACGTCAACCGATTGGGGGCCCTTCCGAAGTTCCACCTCAGACTCGTCCACAACGACACCCAGGTGAGTTCGTTTTGAATTTTACATTCGGAACCGGGAAGCGAGTCCTTTGGAACGGGACGACCCCGAAGGGACGGGGGTACACCCCTGTGCCATTAGCGAGTCGTTCCTTGGTCATCTATCCGTATACCCCAACCGTTCTCGCCGTGTACTCGCCTTCGGAACCGAATACTCGGTCCGGAACAACTGTTCCACCTTTGAGAATAGCCGAGTTATTCTAGTAGCCGGTTTAAGTGGCTCGCCCTATACGTTCCACCTATCCGAGCCAGACCGCTCCAGACGTTACTCCTTGGTAGAAGTAGTTGCCGCCCCGAGAAATACGGGGTCACGGAGCGCTTTCCAACGGATATTACAAAACCGCGGAAGCAACAAGTTAGCGATGCCAAATGGCCAAAGACGTGGGCACCGACTTTACAGGAATCGGAGAGAACCTAACGAGCGATCGACTCGGTTTTCAGCGATCGTCGGAGTCTATCGATAATCGGAGCTCGATTCTCGCGTTGACACGGATTTTTCTTTCCACCAACAAATAGAGTCGCGTCATTCGTCTACATTTGAAAGTCTTATACGAAACTATTAATTTCGTATACGGAGGTTGATCTAGAAAATCCAGTCCCAGGAATCACGGTCGCAGATTCGTTCACGTCGATCCGTAATACCACCACTCGAAGCACTAGGAGTAAAAGAGCAGGGAGATGTCCCACAAAAAGAAAATGTGAAGAGAGGAGGGGACGCCGAGAAAGACCTCGTCGACCTCGCGAGAAAAAGCTCCTTTCCTCGTACGAGTACCGCAGAGCTTCGGTCATATCCCTCTTGTGGATGAAGGAAAGGTTAATTCAACAAGTAGAAGACGGTGGCAACCCTTCTGCCTTCAACCTTCAGCCTCCAACCGTGCTCTCTTTGACCGCGCTACTTCTGCATCAGTCCCGCAGCCTCATTAAATGCAACCCCCAGGCGGTGCAATGCATATCATCTACGACTGCATTTGCCCCGGTGCACCGCAATGCGCCGCATCGATACTTGAACATTTTTTCCCACTGGCGGAAGTCTCACAGGACAGTGAACCATTACCCGAATGAAGGGTAGAGAGAAGGTGATGAAACCTGAGAGAGATTACCGTGGGAGAGACGTCGAAGAGTCCTCGAGGTGGCCCCTCCGAGGGAGGAAAATCCCGCCAAAATGGGAAAACAATTTTCCCCCCACAAATTCCGAGGTGCCGTAGACGAGGACTCGAGCAACCTGCACCTGATCGACATTTGTTTCCCGCCACCTCCGAAAAAGCCGAATTGCATCGAAGTCTGCTTGCATTCGATCGAGGCCGTGATTGAACTCTCGAAAGGATCGAGCCAGGGAAATGGGAAAGCCGAGACCTCGTCAAAGAGGTTCCCCACGGAGCCTAATACTTAAATTGGTTTCGCGAGGAGGATCCAGGGAAAAGGGGGCCCGAAGCCGGATTTCCCCGGGAAAGGGGGGCAAGTCTCTCTCGCTTAATCCCGATTACCGTGGAAACGCGCTTTCCTTCGTCCGAAAACCCGTGCCTTTTTCATCGCGCCACGCCTTGATTACCCGGAAATGCATTTTCCACCCGGCGGAGACACGAGGAATGCACTTTTTTCCTCGCGCGTCATACGCGTCGAATAACCTTCATTACCGTAGAAATAGGGCCCCCCTCTAGGCGGGGGGGCAGCGTAAAATTCTCGAGAAGCATCATACGTCGGATAGACTCCGCGAAATTACATTTGTCGAGGCCGGGCGCGAGGCGAGAGACATTTTCCCGGAAAATCTCGGATTTTCTGTCCGGTGGAAGCGCGCGGTTGTTGCGCGAACTTCCGCGCCGCATAAACACCCCCCGAGCTCGCCGGCAGATGCAGCTGCAGCTACATCCCCCAGAGTTACTTAGAGGGGGATCGACTTTGATGCAGGCCGCTCGCGGCAATTTCTACGGCAACGGCTGCCCAGGGTGGAAAAGTTTTCCGGACAATTTGCAATTGAAAGAAAAATCATATTCGGTTAGCACGGGAGTGCGTATACATGTCCGCCGTTGAATTGCCGGGGATACCAGTGCTGCGGTACATTTTCCTCGGTAATGGGTGTTTGTTTTACGAGCCGGCGCGTACGCATTCGGAAAGGCGGGCTCTTTTTGCAATTCCCAGGGGGTGGTTAAAATTGCAGTTGCACCGCGGAGCGCTGGGGGGACCGCCAGGTGTTTCCGGCAACGCGTCAGGTGCACACCTCTCTGTGATGCATGCTTCTGATCTTGCTTTATCGTTGCCAGCTACCGAAGGACGTTTCCTCCTTCGATACGTGTATCGGTCTGCCGGGATGAGTGACGGTACAATTTCTTCGATTTCCAGATCGAGGTGCCGCCCTCCGAGGAAACGTAACGCGATTCGAGCCGGGTTGCTCGTTTTAGAGACGGGATTTCAGTTTTAAACACGTGTAAACGAGGAGGGAGAAAAAGTGCACTCGCGCCTGAGAATTTATTTTCGAGCGACGGGGTGGGGAATATCGTCGAGCTCGCGATTCTAATCACCGATATCAATCATGTCGAGAGCGGCGCAAGGGCCTCCATTGACCTGGTGTTTAAATTGCCGTAAAAATGGAAGAGCTCCCGGTTTTAAAGGCGCAAGATAAATTAACGTTTCGGCTCGTAAACAACCGCCTTTCCACGTGTCGGGACGCGAGGCGGCTGCGGAATTGTCTTTCCTCCTCGGCCTTTCTGTCAGCCATTGTCTCCACCAGCGAAACTTTTCAATTTCGAGAATTTACGACAAATGGCCCCGGCAAATTTACGAGTATCACGCGGAAACATCTGCACGATTTTTACGACTCGTCAGGAGCCGTGCATCGCCGTTAACATTGACGCGGAATCTTTCCAGAAGAATCGCCCTCGAAGCTGCGAAAAGTTATTCAACGCCGTTCCCTCTGTATTAATTAAAAGTCTCGGCAAAAGGGTCACTTGTCGCGATTCCTCTTATTTTCTCCAGCTTTTCTTTCTTTTTTTTCTCTCTCTCTCTCTCTCGCTTTCCTTCTCTTCCTTTTTTCAGTAAATGGAAACGTACCTCTCCCCCGTCGGTTATAATCACATTGCGAACACCTACGGGGCTCGTAAATAAAATGTCATTAATTAACCTCGTTTGCGAATAAAGTGAAACGCGACGTTTATAACCCCGGCCAGCCCAGTTTTATAGAATTCGCGAGGATAAAGTTTTATGTATCGCACCGTCTGGCAGGGACGGTATTCGGCCGGGATTTGGAAATCCAGCTGCGTGTCGCGTATTTCCTTCGTTTTCCCCATTTTTCTTCCGGCCCAGTCCGATGGAAGAGCGTCGCGGTTTTTGGATTTCTCTTTTTTTTTTTCCTTCTTCTTCTGACCCAGTGACTGACAAACGGCTAATCTGGCGGCGGAATTCCGAAAGGGATAGTCCACTTTCAAGAGATAGTCGAGAATCCACAAACGCGCCGTTAAAGACTCCCTGGAAAAAGGCCCGTTAAGATAAATCCGTTGGGTTTACCTTCTGAATGAAATCCGAGTTTCCTTAGGCCTCCGGCGTGGCCTAAAACCAAATTTTCAATAAAAACGGGACGGACTTCCGGCGGAGGGACGTCGCACGAGAGGTCCTTCTTCTCGTCCCGAGGGATCAGAGGGACAATTATCACAATTTGCACCGAACGTAAGGGAATTCTTTTTTTTTTTTAAAGGTGGGGATCAAAGTTCAAGGAACGTTTTAGGTAAAATCGGCGCGATAAATTCCTCTCTCGCGACCGGGAGATTGTCAGGGGCGGAAACGAAAAGGGATGAACGAGCTCTCCCGCGTCGGCCGGTTTAACCTGCAGCTGGCAATCGCATTTGTTTAGAGAATATAAAATCCGGGGCAAAGCGGAGAAATTGGATTTTCCTCGTAATCCGTGAGAAATTGTATTTCCGTGCCGGGGCGCGCTCTCGAATTCGAGGAGGGGTTTCCCGTTTTTTAAGGCCGCGGATGCCAGAGAAGGGCCATTTCCCAGGTGACGGTAAATCGTTCCCGGCAACAATAACCGTCCAGCGCAGAACAATCGTTTTTCCCTCGAAAGCACCCGCGGCATGGCCGAAGTATCATCGAGGAGCAACGGCCCGTAATTTAATCGGAGAGCGGTCGAGCCCGACGTCGATGTCACCGGGCTTGAAAATCCTTCTGGAAAATCGCCCGAGCCCCTTCAATTCGGAGATGAGACCAATTACACGGGATCCTCGTAGCACTTTGTGCAACCCGCCCTCGAGATCTCCTCAAGAGGGAAATCCTTTCTCGGGCCGATTGCTCGGATCCCCTTTGAATCTCACGGACGGACGTCCACCCTTTTCAAATTTCTTCGCGGCGAATCCCTCTTACCGGAAAATCTATGGGACGTGTCGTGGATCTGGAAATCCGGTCGACTCTAAATTACAAAGGGCACTGTGGAAGGAAATGCGACGTTTCCCCTCCAATTGTCTTTCGGATAGAAATCTGAAACATCGAATTTCATCCTGAGAACAATTCCGTAAAGAAGACGCACGTGGACGTGGTGCACAAAACTGCACTCGGGTCGATATTAAATTTCGAAATGGCTTACTCAAGAGGCGATGAGGTATCGAATTTCGAAAAATGGTCGCCAGAGACGGAGCCGACGGCTCCGGATACGTTTCGCGTGGCAGACCTCTGAGGAATCGTCGAATTTCATTTCTTCCTTTTCTTTATCTTCTTCTCGTTTCTTTTGTTCCTGTGCAAATGAACACTCAAGGATATTAAATCCTCTCCGTGGGACCGCTCCCTTATTTTTCGACGGGAGTTCATTTGGTCCAATGCCGACACCCCGGGAGAGCCTCAAGGCCGAACGTCGAGTTTTCGGAAACGAATTGCGCCATTCATACGCCGAGAGACACAACGGAGCATAAAGGCCGTGGGATAAATTGGAATTTCGGGGCGGTGCCGAAAAAAGAAAAAAGAAAAGAATGGCATGTTTACTAGGGCGCAGGAGAATGCGCA